CAATGCTTTCAGGACCATCTAAGGATCCTTAATTTAATGACAAGCCTTTTGTTATCTTAATCACTTGGCCTCTGTTTAAAAACAGACTCCCTGCCAAAAGGGCAGAAGCTGGGAGCAGCACAGAACTGTTCACATTCCACACTGCCTCTGGGACCGGGGCTGTGAGCAGACCTCAGGTATGAAACTCAACAGGAGCCCAGAACCACTATGGCTCATGGGTGCTGAACATCCCCTATTTTTTCTGTGGATGTTTGAGCCCCGGAGCATCTGCAGTGTTGGCGCCTATGCGCCTTTCTGTTTTCCTCAGTAGGATTTAACTTCCAATATTTAAAGGATGCCCTTTTTGCCTCTAGCTGCCTCTTTTACTTTGTTATTTAGCTATGGTGGCACTCTTTTGGTCCTCTTACTATGTTTTTTAATTTGGGGTATACATTTAAGTTGAGCCTCTACTTGGTGTGTTTAAAAATTTTTCCAGGCAATTGGCAGCTTTTGTGACTGTACCTTTTAATTTCCATTTAATTTGCTTCCTCATTTTTGTGTTCCTCTTTCTGACGTTAAATGCTATGGTGGTAGGCTTCTTAGGTATTCCCCCTCCCCCCAAGGATAAATTTAATTATATTATGGTCGCTATTACTGAGCGGTTCAGCTATATTCACCCCTTGGACCAGATCCTGTGCTCCACTGAGGACTAGATCAAGAATTGCCTGACCCCTTGTGGGTTCCAGGGCTAGCTGCACCAAGAAGCAGTCATTTATAGTGTCTAGAAATTTTATCTCTGCATCCCGTCCTGAGGTGACATGTACCCAGTCAAAATGGGGAGAGTTGAAATCCCCCATTATTATTGAGTTTTCTATTTTTATAGCCTCTCTAATCTCCTGGAGCATTTTACAATCACCATCACCATCCTGGTCACGTGGTGCTATATTCTTATTATTTAAGCATGGAATGTCTATCCATAGAGATTCTATGGTATCCTTTGCTGTCTTTCACGCACAGTGCCACTCCCACACCAGCATGACCTACTCTGTCAAAAGTAACTACTGTCAGCACTGCGACAACTAAGTTGTGCAATCCCACCTATCCCCATTGTTATCCTGTCCTCCTTCCTTTGTCTGTTTAGTCACCTTTTTGTGTATCCTGCAAAGTCTGCAAAGCTAACCACTGAAGTCAGCTAAGCCACACTCATTTACTCTAGTTGAGAATCTGATCCATTACCTGGAAGCCCAATTCAATGCTAAGTGCAGGTCTGTTTCAAAGTTTATGGAGCACAGCTAGAGGAAAGGAGAAAATTGTAAGTATGAAGTAAGTAGGTCGGGAAAGGGGCAGAGAATGAGGGGACAAGGAAACTGCTTTGTTGAAGAAGAACTCAGAGGTCCCTAGGGATTTGGGGGGGAAGTATATGTTTTGGGGGGGGAAGTATATGTTTTTTGGGGGGGAAGTATATGTTTTTTGGGGGGGAAGTATATAGGGATTTTGGGGGGGAAGTATATAGGGATTTTGGGGGGGAAGTATATAGGGATTTTTGGGGGGGAGTATATATTTTTTAAAATTATTTATTTGAAGAATCTATGTGCCCAGCTCCCAAATGGAGTTATGTAAAACAAATTGATTATTTAAGGCCAGGTTCTGACACCATTACTCTCCCTGAGTGGCACCTTACTCTATAACTAGTCTTGCTTAACCCAATAAGATTACTCGTGTAGTAAAGTACTACTCAGCAACGTATGAGTGGGATAATGGTCATTAACCAGACACGACGGCCTAACAACAGACTCTCCCTGTGTCAAACACTGCCACTCTAGCCATGCAGAATGGCAGATGGAAACAGGGGACTTTAAATGAATAGTAGCTGATCCAAGATGGGCACTCTTAGGGGCAGAGTTCTACACATGAAATCCTAACTCTGAGAAAGCCATGCTCCCAGCTGGGACCAGACTGACCCGAAAGATACGGCTCAAGCTCAAACCCTTCTGAATGAAAAGGGAGGAATACCAGCATTGGAAAAGACAAACTTGAAGAGGAGCTCAGCTCAACATGTAGTATGACGCATGGTACCTCTAACAGCTGGAATTATTATCATGCTGTATTGTGTGTGTGAGCCAGGGAATGGGATTTGAACCCACACTTTCCTGGCCCATAGGTTAGTATACTGATAACTGAGCGACAAGGACATTCAAACATGTGGATACATTCTGTATTTTTCTGAAGTTACATATAAAAGAAACTCAAGCATGTGGGTCAGATAAGAGGGCACATTCAATGTTTTTATTGATCAAGTTAGCAACAATAAAATAAAATCACACCACCATAATGGCTATTTATTATTTGCATTGCATTACAGTGCTTTTCAGCAGTGATATGAGCAGATAAAATGGTATTCCTGCCCCCAAAGACCTTCTTATCTTAAACTCCAGCCCCGCAGATCATTATGCAGGTGCGTAGCCCGTACTCAGTTGGATTTGGCTTCAGTATGACTACTCATGTGAGTAAACACTAGTCGTGTGAGGGAAGTCGGCAGCACCAGGCCTGAAAATACAGCAAGGTATTCTAACAGGAGAATTACCACTCCCAGTAGAATTGTACTGATATTGGCCTTGTACTGTGTTTTTGGACTGCATTGCTAGAGTTGGCATCTAGGGACTGTGGCTTTGAGAAAGGCAGCTGGCAACGAATGTGATTGGTTTTAACATTTGCCATGATGATATTTTTGAAAATGGAAAGAATGTCAGTGCTCATGTAATGTAAAACCTTTTTGGCTGGGAAATGTTCTGAGAGGGTTACCCAGGAAAGGCAGGTGTATTTACAGCTTGGTCCTGCATGTGTGAAATTAATGGGCATTTTGCCATTGAGTTAAATGGGAGAAGGTTCAGGGCTTTAGTGCTCAGCTGTCATTTCCATTGTCACTTCTTGAATTTGAGGGTTTAGTTGCCATGGGAACATTTGTAGCCCAGCTGCATTTTCATTAGAGCTGGCTGGAAAATGGTATGTTTGGGAGTGATGGGGTGTGTGAAATTGTTTTCCAGAAAATGTTCTCAAAACTCTTGAATTTTGTCAGTGTTCTGACCAAAAAAAAAAAAAAATTAGTAAACAATAGAAAATAATATTAA